CAGAGAGGAAGAGGCTCATTAGATGGAGGTTCACATCCTCCTGTGTCCATTCATTACTGACCATTTTTCTGCATATTACAGATGCACTCAGTAAGTCTGTGGCTGAATTCTTAGCTCCACACAGGATATGAGTTACAACATATAGGGGTGTTGCCCTGTTGCTTCAGAACTGTGGTTTATCATGTAACACCATGCCACATGATGTGACTGAATGCAGGAAAAAACCCTCAGCCTGGTTCCACTGACTCAAATATAGCTCAAGGCAACAGATACGGAGCTAGGATGAGGAAGTTCTCTACAGCATGGAAAATGGGCCCCTTTACAGATAGCTCACTGTGCTGCCTCTGCCCAACCCTGATAAATGAACTAAAATAAGAGCAAGAGTACCAGAAGGGAAGCCTTTATTCTGAGTTAAAAGGGTACATGGAGATACTACAGGCATCTCACTAGCGTTGTGGGGGTCCTGAGCGTGGAGAGTAACCGGGACAGAGGGCAGAGTTGGAGAGAAGGAACGACCTGACCTGAATCAGCTGCATACCGAGTGCTATTGGTGGACCTGTCATTCTCAGTTACTTAAAAGCAAATAGAAAAGATATTTGAACTCCCACACGAAGTAACGGAAAGGATCTTGGGTAAGTTGTAGTAACCTTTAGCTGTGCTAATTAAAATCTCCCTGTTGCACAGGGTAAGTGTTTTGGATCTTACTTTCAGGTGTATATTTTATTGTTAAATATGTGCAAAAGCAACTTTATGTTTTGTTTGCAAAGTAAAGGTAGGTGTGGAAGGGAAGCGCACCCTGTGTGTGCAAAGAAAAAATCGGTCGTGATCGCGTTTGGCATCGTGTACTTTGTGGTCCTGTGGAGCCTTGTATTTAAAAGACCTTAGTAGTGCTTCATGCCATTGCATTGTTACAAATGTTTTAAACAGAAATTATGCCTGGGGTCTTTGGGAAGAAAATGTACTGTGTAACACTGTGAACTTTTGTCCTTGCCATGTAGGAAAAATGCAGCTTAACTAGTTGAAGAGTTACTCTTACTTATTAACCTATAAAACTCTGTTTAAAAAAAATCAGCAGACTATTCATTCTTGAAGAAAACTTAATGAACCAGTTCTAAACTTGCAGAACATTTATTAAGAAGTGATTATTTACCCTGAAAGGATCTTGTACTTTGCTGTGTGAGTTGCCTTATAAAGTGAATTTCCTTAGAGATTTAAATGTGTTTATGAAAATACTAATTTCCCAGTTAATCTCCAAGAAAATGTTAATCGTAAAAGGAATATACCTCTGATACAGATTGGGATGCATCAGGGAGTCTCAAAGTTTTGTGTATGTGGCATATGTAGGAAGTCATAGTGATCAGGAGTAAGAAAAAGTTAAAAAGGGGTGATTAATTTGATCTTTCAGTTATTAAAATGGTACATACACACATAGCTTGCAAATAGGGCATTATGTGTGACTAATAGAATAAAAATGAATAAAATATGCCAGGGGAACATACAAATGTGGTGTTTTGAAAAAAAGTACACCAATAACCAAACATCTTGACATAAATGGTGTCAAGTTTTAGGGGATAACCAAAAAGGTGGGTGCCTGGTAATTCTCAGGGATGCCACCATTGAGTTAGTGACTTTTTAGCTGGGTTTTGAAGGGTTTAAGAAGTGATAAGAAAGAGGGTTCTGGTCAGAGTGGATAACAGCATGAGCAGAGGTTTGCAGGTCAGTGTTACTTTTCCGCTCACCGTCCTCCATTGCCTCCCGCCTTACCCAGACCCCAGTCTTGCTTCTGACTCTCCAGGGCTTGCTGGGTGTACCTTGTGCTGTGCTTACGATTGCTCTGTCTTTCCCATTGGATTGTAAGAGCCATCCAGTGGGGGCTTGGTCCTCTTGCTCACCCTGCATTCCAGGTGCCTAGAGTAGCAGCTGTTCAGGACATAAGCGGTGCAGCGTTCCAAGGGTGTCCTAGGTGCTGGGCTGTGAGATGTCTGAGGGATGAGGGTGACGGAGTGAGGCTGCGCATCGGTCGCGGGTTTGGAAGGCAGTGTACAGAAAATGTAGGACCGTAAAAGGTTAGCTCTTTGATCTGCCACTGAAGTAGTGATACTGTCACAGGGTGGAGGATGGGTGAGGAGGGCCAGAGTAGAGACAGCAATTCCACAGGAGAGGTTTTGTCATCAGGTTCTTCATTCGGTTGACATTCTGGAGTGTTTGCTCCATGCTGAGCACTGCGCTCGGTTCAGAGAGTACAGAGGTGACTGGAAAACGGCTGCAGCTGCTGAGCTGAGACGCCGAGCATCGGGCAGCAGAGGCTGAGCAGAGGATGTGGTGGGGTGGCCCAGAGGACCCTAAGCTCCTTCGGAGTCGCTTGCTGCCAGCAGGTAGCTCCGTGGAAGATGAAGCCTATAGGGAACTCCAAAAAAGGTTTCAAGCTTCTTTTTTGTCTTTTTGAGACAGGGTCTCACTATGCAGTTCAGGCTGGCCTTGAACTCACTTTGTAGCTTAGGCTGTCCTTGAACTCGCAGTGATCCTCCTGCCTCAGCCTCCCGAGTGCTGGGATTACAGGTGTGCACCACCCCACCTGGCAGAGGCTTCATTTTTTAAATACCAAGGACCTTCTGTGATTCTCGGGGCTTGCCCAAGAGTTCTTAGGGCTATTTTATTCTCCTGTCATTCTCAGAAGGATGCATGTAGGAGCAGTGCTGCTTGTGCTGATCCTGGACCACAGCTTGTCAGAATAGGCACTGAAGGAGAGGTTGGTGTCCCAGCAGTGGGTGATGGAATTAAGGGGGCTGGTGTACAGGAGGTGTTTTATGCACCGAATATTGCTGATGTGTGGTGGTACTGCTGGGGGAAATGGACACTTTACACTTTAACATGCCAGGTGACGCTTCCAAATAGGTATATAGAACGTGGAAGACTGAAAAATAATTTTTACGAGGTTTTTTGGAGGGGTGAAGACACATATTCTCTCGATACGTATCTTTATACTTATGGCTTGAAAAATACACTAAGTGAATTTTCATTTGCTGCCTGGTACAGCATTTAGACATGCAGTTTTTTTTTTTTTTAATCTTTTCTTCCGGTACCAGGAATCGAACTCACAACCTTGCACTTGCCAGGCAGGTGCTTTGCCGCTGAGCTAAATCCCCAGCCCTAGACATGCAGTTCTTGGGGTTCAGCTGTTCCTGGTCCTTCTGCTCACTAACTCAGATTTGGAAGGAGAGTATACTTCTCTCATTTTTTTCTTTATTTTTAGGGCTGTTTATGTTTGAACATTGTGTTACAGTTTCCAAGGAATTGGAAAAACTGGATTTTAGAACTGTAGGTTCAGATCTTATACCTGCTGCTTATATGATTTTGAGCAGTTTTTTTTCTTTGAGGCAGGGTCTTGCCATATAGTTCAGCCATTAGCCCTTCAATTCAGTACCTAGGCCAGGCTGATCTCAGTCTCCGGAGTGCTGGTATTACAGGTGTACGCCACCTCACCTGGCTGTTTTGAGCAACTTAATGTCCGAGTCACAGAGCCCTCTTCTGTAAACAGCAGTGTTATCAAGTATATGAGAAGTGAGGATTGAGATGATGTGCATAAAGGAATTCTAGCTTGATGTTGGTGGGCTGTCGCTGCTCAGCAGGTGTTCGGTGTGTATGACACAGAGTAATAAGCCAGCGTAGTTACTTTAAGCATGCAACTCAGTGGTATCAACTATGTTCACAGTGTTGTGTAACCTTCACCACTCTTTGCACACTTTCCATCACCACCATCAGATACTCTGTAACCATTAAGCAGTGGCTCCCCACCCCCTCCCAGCCCCTGGTAACCTCTCCAGTTTCCGCACTCTAAATATTTCCAGGAGGTGGATTCATACAGCTCCCGTCCTCTGTGCCTGACCTTTCTCGTAGCAGATGGTGTGGGAGCTCTGTCCACACTGTAGCTCCACCAAGACTTCCTCTTTTCATGGCCGGATGTTGTTTCACTCCATGTTTACCATATTGTACCTGCCTTTCATACATTCAGGGACGCTGGGTTGTTTCCACTTTGCAGCTGTGGCAGACAGTGTGGCCGTGAGCGTGGTGTTCAGGAGTCTAGGCCCCGTTTCCAACTCCTTGTGCTTACACCCAGAGCTGGAGCTGCTGGGTCACAAAATCCGTGTTCACCTTTCTGAGCTGTCACCAGACTGTCCTGCCTTGCCTTGTCCTCTGCATTGCCTCACACCCGTCTCCTGCAAGGTCCAGACCACTAGACCTCAGAATTGAGAGCACCAGCTTCTGTGCAGTACCTGGCAACCTGCTGGTTTTTCTCCACTTCAGACAGTAGCATGTCTTCCAAGCTTCTGCTGCCCAATGCCCCTGCGGAGAAGGCCCCTTTTTCTTTCCTGCTTCTTGAGTCTGCTCCCATTTTCCCCTCACTCCCTGCTTCTGTTCCCATTTCCTGCTTCTCTAGGGACGCTGAGGAGGAGCAGGCAGACTGGTCCTCCTTCAAGCCGCCCCTCCCTGGCTGCCCTGCTGGGCCTTTTTGTGGAAGGGCTCACAAAGACTGAGTCTCATTGCCCCTCAGGGAACTTGAAGGCAAAGCTCCAGAGCAGCACTTAGACCCCCAAATGGCAAGGGTTTGGGGAAGGTGTGGTGCGGAGAGGAAATGGTATTCCAGGGGAGGAATTGTGCCTCAGAGCGTGGAGTGGGCTGCTGCTGCACAGTGGGAAGTAATCATATCCCTCCAAGTCAGGGATTTCCTGGTCAAACAAGGTACTTTTTACCCCTGCAGTCTCAATGAGCCAGTGATTAAAAGTCAGCATTCAGTGTGTTTTACCTATTTCTAAGATCACTGTAAGGATCTTCAGGCATGATGTTGCATTCCTCGTGGGTCCTTAGTAGGAAACTAGGATGTATCCCCACACTGCAGGAGTGAGTATCCACCTAAAACAGATGGAATCGTGGCAGAGCCATAGAGTCCAGATATAGTGATAAGCTGTTGGTGACAGACCTAAGGTGAACATGAGCAGCAGTGAGGTTTCGAGATTAATTTTAATAACTAAGTCAAGGACCAGCAAAGAGCAGGGGAGAGGCTTATGGCAGACCGTGGGCTTGGAGAAGTAACGTCCCTTGGGGAAGGGAGTGGTGCCTGCAGGTTAGCTGCGTGGGTGCATTCTGGGGAGTGAAGAGAACGGAGGACAGAAGAGCGGGAGCCCACGCGTGACTCACCACTGGATGACCCAGTTGTGTGCCTGCCGACCTCCCACCGGAAGGGAAATGGCCCTGGCTGAGAATGCACTCCACGTTGCTGAAGGCTGGAGTGCGTTCCTTGTGTTTACAGTCCCTCCGGCTTGGGAGCCAGTTTTGTGTTGCCCATGTAGAAGAATCTGAGCTGTGAGCACAGAAACCTGCCTGGCTGGTAGGTCCTGGAGCCGGGATTCTGGAGCAGGCGGCTGCTCCCCTGCGGCGTGGTTAGACACAGGGATTCCTTTTGCCTGAGTTGGAACAGGATCTGCCGAGCTTTCAGGGCTTCCTCCTTAAAGCACTTGTGGGATCCATTTCTTTTGTCCTTAGCCCAGGCTTATTTCATGACCTGCGGCAGTGCTATCCCGTAGAGATCTCCATGTGCAGTGTAAGGTTTTTCCAGTAGCTACATTCACAATGCTAAGAGAAATAGGTAGAATTCATTCAGTGGCATATTTCATTTAATCCCATTTGTATATCAGACTGTTAGGTCCAGGTAATATACACACCATGTAATCGATATTTTAAAGTTATCGAGATAATCTATTGTACAGTTTACACTTAAAGCAGATCTTATTTGGATGAGCCCCGTTTCAGGTTATATCATGTGGCTCCTGGCTACCTACCCTGTCTAAGAAAACAGTTGAGAGACTCATCCTAAGAGCAAATCAAAGGTAGTGGCCCTGCTTTGAAGCCCCTGGGAAGAACTGTGGGCAGAAAGGCGGGAGGGGCACAGAGAGAAGGCGAGGCTGCTATGGCAGGGCAGAAGGTGGCAGGCAGCAGCGTGAGGACGTCTCTGCCTGCCTGCAGGGCTACTTACGGAGAGCTGTAAGGTCACGACCCGCCGGTCTCCACCCCTCGGCCCCGGAAAGCTCTGTGGCGTCCTCACCACTGGGAAGGATGGAAGCCACAAGCTTTAGTGTGTGTGGCTTTGTTGCGGAAGACTCTTCTGCTACTGCCTTTCTCAGATGAGAGCTGTAATGCCTGAGGAAACAGCCATGGCTGAAAGGACCTTATATGGGAATTTCTAGACTTCAGCTCTACCCGGGGGATATAAGTGATAGTTTCAGGCTTCCAGGAAAACAGAGATCATCCTGTATTTATAAGATCTTTAGTCATTTCATCCGTGCTTCTTTACTTTAAAAAACGTTCTTGGGACTTCCCCTTCATCGTTCTTCCTGTGATTCTGTTTCTTTTGTCGTCTCTGTCCCTCTTCATCTGTCTCCCAGTCTTTTCCTGTTACACTTGCTGCTTTTGTTCTGCTTTTTGTTTGTTATTTTGTTGATATGTAGTAAGCTTTGAGCTCGGAATCAGTGTACCTGGATCCTGCACTTCGTACTTTTAGGTGTGAGGCTTTCATTCTGTTCTTTCACTTGAATAAGGAGGGGAAAACTCCAAAGTTAGAGTCCTTCAGTGCCCTCATTTTACAGTGCAAATCCTCAAGTTAAAAAATGAACAGTGCTGAGGACAAAGTTCCATAGTAAGGCCCTGGGGTTGACGCGCAGCACTGCACAAAAAAACCAAGCAAAACCCCCACAACATAAGCTGTCCCCTGTGAACCATTGAACTTAACACTGCGGTACTGTACACTCAATGGTGTACTGTACACACAGCGGGGTGGAGACCGGGGAGTCGTTAATAACTCGCACTTCCCACACCGCCTGCCAGCCTGGCCACACCGTCCTGCTCCTGTCTGCGTGCCGCTGCCCTGGGCACTTCGCACAGCTGGAGGCATGCAGTGTGTGTCCACTGGTGACTGGTTTCGTTACCCATGTCTTTAGATTCACCCATGTTGTAGCGTGTATTAAAGCAGCCTTCCTTTTAAGACTGGATAGTGTTCCTTTACGTGTATGTTCCGCATTGTGCTTATCCATTCATCCTTAAATGGAACCTCTCAGCTGTTTGATAGCTTCCTCACTTGAGTGGATTTATTTTTTGAGTTGTGAATAATGCAGCCATGAACATGGATCCGAACATCTCTCTTCAAGTCTGTTTTCAACTCTGTGTGTACGTCTAGAAGTAGATCCAGCTGGATCGTATGGTGACTTGATTTTGTACGTTTTTGAGCAGTTGCATCATTTTACATTCATGTTTCCCTAATGATTAGTGATGTTGGACATCTTTTCATGTCCATTGTGTCTTCTCTGGAGAAAAATGTCTATTCAAGCCCTTTGCTCATTTTAAAAATCCAGCTTCTTAATGTTGCAAACATTCACTGCATAGTGTAAATGTCAGACTAGATGGGGCCATACATAGGGTTTACAGGCATTTTCCTCCAGTCACCAGGTTGCTGTTTATTTATTTATTTTTTTTTTTGGTTTTTCTCCGGTACCAGGAACCGAACTCACGACCTTGCGCTTGCCAGGCAGGCGCTTTGCCGCTGAGCTAAATCCCCAGCCCCAGGTTGCTGTTTAAATAAGGGTTTTTTGTTTGCTTTTGTTTTTTGAGACAGGGCCTTACTATTGTATTTCTTCAAAAATAAGACCTAGTTAGAAAAATAAGCCTTAGCATAATTTTTCAGGGTGCTCATAATATAAACCCTACCCCAAAAATAAGCCCCCCGTTAAGATGGTCAGCCCAATATGTCTGTTGAAACACAAGACAGGGGGCTGGGGATTTAGCTCAGCGGCACAGTGCCTGCCTGGTAAGTGCAACGTCATGAGTTCAATTCCCGGTACCAGAGGGAAAAAAAAAAAACAACACAAGACAGATGTATTGAATTATAAAATAACAATATATAATTAAACATAAATAAATATTGATTTTAATACTTGAAATAAGTGTAATGTAAATAATTACATATTTGTAAATACCCAGGCAGGCGCCTTTGGATGAGAGGGAAAACACCTATGTAAACAGGTGAACTTGAGACTTACTGACAAATGACGGGACACAGTGATGAATGACAGGCACACTTGATAGCGGACAGACATGGTGCTATCTAATAAGACTCCTCAGGGCCGGGTGAGGTAGCGAACACCTGTAATCCCAGCACTCAGGCTGCGACTGGAGGATTTCTGTGAGTTCAAGGCTGGCCTGGGCTACAAAGTGAGTTTAAGGCCAGCCTGAGCTGCATAGTGCAGCCCTGTCTTAAAAAAGAAAAAAGAAAAAGAATATTCATAATTCAATACGCCTTGTGTTGTAAAGGACGTATTTAATGCACTCATGTGAAATAAAGAAACACTTTCTGAAGTCTGGTGCCTGCAATTTTTCATCCCTTTTTTGTGGCCCATCGCGCTTGCCATCGTCATTTTTGTTGCCACTCCTCTTGTAAGTGTTCGGTCAACACCTGGATTAATGGAGACTGCAGCCCAGCATGCAAGCCCAGGCGGTGCTCTGTGCGCAGGCTGCATGGACAAGAAGTGCTCGTGTAAGGAGAGTGCTACGGCTGGACGGGGGAGCTGGGGGCCGGTGGCTCTACCGGAATGAGTCAGGCCAGAATTCAGTTTGGAGAGTTACGGTGATGTTCCAGAATAAGATGGTGTGGCTGTCTTTCAGTAAGTGTAGATTCGTGTACATGAGTAAATGTAGATTGTTGTACAAGAAAAAATAAAGTGTCCTCTGAAAATAAGCCCTAGTGCATCTTTTTCAGCAGAAATTAATATAAACCTGGTCTTGTTTTCAGGAATATAATGGTATGTAGTTCAGGATGGCCTCAAACTCACTACATAGTCTAGGCAGGCCTGGAACACTCGGCAGTTACCCTGCCTCAGCCTCCTGAGTGCTAGGATTTTAGGCATGTGCCACTCAGCTTTCATGTTCAGTTTTAGGATAGTCTTTTCTATTTCTTCAAGTGAAAAATATCCTTACAACCAGGCATGGTGGTACACAACAGTATTCCTAGCACTCCAGGAGACTAGGGCAGGGGATGGCAAGTTTGAGCCCCACCTGGGCAACTTTAAGACTTAGCAAGACCCGTGTCAAAATCAAAAATAAAAACGGTGCCAGGGATATAGCTCAGCAGTACAGCACCTGCCTGGCAAGTGCAAGGTTCTGAGTTTGATTCTCGGCACAAATAAAATAACGTAATATAACAATATAAAACAGACTGTAAAAAGGCCCAGGGTTCAGCCATCAGTATCACAGAAAAACAAGACTATAAGATAAACAAGCATCCTCTGTGTTTGATTTTTTTTTTTTTTTTTTTTGTACTGAGAATTGAACTCAGGACCTTGTGCTTGCCAGGTAGGCGCTTGTGCCACTGAGCTATATCCCACTGTGTTTGATTTACAAAGAGGAAGCACAGGATCTGCAGCTGAGGTCACACAGGGGCCTCGAGCCTGGCCAGCCTCCTCTGGGGCACCATGGTGGCTCCATGCCATGAGTTAGTATGGCCTCCTGGGCTGGAGGTACCCCTCTGACACTGCCCTGCAGCCAGGAGCATCACCTGCTCTTCCCTCTGGCATCTGCTCCCGCCTTTCTCTCTGCCCCTGTTGTCATTTTGTTTTTGTTTTTAAATGCTGAGGATGGAACCCAGGACCTGGCTCATGCTAGGCAAGTGATCTACACACTGCCAACCCCAAACAGATTCTTGTATTCTTTCACCAGAACTTGGTATGTGGTTCTTTTATTGTAAGAAGAAAACAGGGTTGGGCATGGTGGCACACACTTGTAATCCCAGCACTCAGAAGGCTGAAGCAGGAAGATCACTGAGAGTTTGAGGCCAGGAGCACGGAGCAGGGCAGCACAGTGCTGGACCAACCCGAGGAGTGCAAGGGATGCTGCTCATAGAGGAGGGGCAGCCCAGGTGTGCACAGGTGCCTCCACTTTGTGGATGTTTTGATAACTTGAAGTGGAGATGGAGGAGATAGGACCACATGGGATGGGTCTGTATGTCAAGCCTGCTGTCTGCCTGAGAGCTCTGGGATGTCTGAGACACCTTAGCTGTCCTGGTGACAAGGGGGAGAAGCAACTGCTTGATTGATACCTCCCAGCATTCACAGGGCTGGGATGAATCACAACTGTCCCAGCCCTCAAGGAGTCTCCAGAAGGGGCAGCAGTGGCGATCACAGCCCGTTGGGATTGGGGAATTTTGAGGATCTCAGCAATGGCCTCTGGTTCCTCCCTGATCTTTGCGTAGTCACGTGTGGCCCTCCCTCTCCTCAGAGCGGCCACAGCAGCACTGGCAAGGCATAGGACGGCCCTGGAGCAGCTGCAGAGGTGGGGGTGGTGGGAAGCCAGGAGGCAGGGAGTGGGCCTATCAGTCAAGAGAAAAAGGAAGGGCTGGGAGTCTTTCCTTTTTTTGTCAACAGAGACCTGAAATATTAATCAGTTATTTTTGTGGTCCCTGCCGTGAGAGGTTCCACAGCAGCTTTTAAAACACTGTTCAGACCACTACTGCCTTCAGATCTTTTATTCTTTTTTTTTTTTTTTTTTTTTTGGTTTTTTGGTTTTTCTCCGGTACCGGGAACTGAACTCACGACCTTGCACTTGCCAGGCAGGCGCTTTGCCGCTGAGCTAAATCCCCAGCCCCCTTTTATTCTTTTGTTTGTTTGTTTGTTTTTGTTTTTTCAAGACAGGGTCTCACTATGCAGTTCAAGCTGGCCTCGAACTCACAACAATCCTCCTGCCTCAGCCTTCCGATTGCTGGGATTGCAGGCATGCGCCACCACACTGGGCTAGATCTTTTATTCTTAACCTCTGTGATCCACTTAGTAGAAATGACTAGATAATAACATTTTAATTGCATCGAGGTGAGTCTTCACTGGATCCCCATAGCCTCGTCCTTCTCACTAGCATACCCAGCTTCCCTCTGTCTGTGCTGCCCCCTGGTGAACTGTGCACGACAGTCAGCCCTGCGCTCTGCCCCTCAGCCTCCGGTGAAGCAGGAGCAGATGGGAGAGGGGTTAGCTGGACAGACTGTGCGGCAGCATCCATTTTCCATGTCCCTGCTAAGTAAGAGCACCAGCTGTGGGAAAAATTCTCAGAGGGTCGCTGCCTTGTCCTTTTTTTTTTTTTTTCTGGTATTTGGAATTGAACTCAGGACCTTGCGCTTGCCAGGCAGGTGCTGTGTCACTGAGCTAGATCCCTGGCCCATCGTCATTCTTTTTCCATGGGAACCATCGCTTGATGAGTGTGGGTCTCAGCAGGACACAGAAGCATACGCCCACCCAGTAGCTGAGAGGCCCCCCAGCTCAGGGCTGCACCTGTCAGCTGTGCCTTCCTTGGACTTGGACCTGAGAACTGGAGATGCAGAGGATGATGCCCCGGGATCATGCTGCAGAGCAGCTGGCATCTAGGGCAGTGGTGGCGCCAGTGTGGGCGGCACGGCCAGCGACCAGGGTAGGGTGTCCTGGGCCCTGTCCACACCAGGGGCGCCGGTGGTGGCAGACCTCCCTGTGGGTAGGTGTTGCCGCATGCTGAGTTCTTTATTGATCCCACAGGTTCTGCGACAACCTAAGATGTATTTTTTTTGTTAAAAATGAGACATTTAACACACAGACCTGCTAAAATTAAGGTAGATTCTGTTGCTAACATCTTAGGAACCTGTGTGTGTCAAGGTGAAAGAAGTGCCTGCTCAAATGGCCATTTTTAAAATAAATTTTTGAAAATTTCTCTTTTGATATTTTTATTTATTCTTGGTATCGTCTGTTGTCCCCATTTCCCTCTGCTTCTACTCTCTCCTGAGTGTGTGGTAGGACTCCCAGGAGGAGGCGCTAGAAGCTCATCTGGGTGGAGAAGTGGCAGAGTCCTGGAGAAAGGGGAAAGCGTGCAGAGCCTGGGACACGTGGCCGGGAAGCCGAGTAGTTGTGGGAGGGGGAAGGCGACTGCAGCGCAGCCGGGCGGGAGGCGGCGCCCTGTGCCTTCCGCACTGGCCTGTGTGTTTGTGCCCCCCACAGACCATACGTTGGACTCCTTGGTCAGAGGTGGG